ATCAACTGTTCAGGCATAAAAGTAATTCTAAAACCGTTCTGCAATGCTAGAACTAGTATTTAAGTATTTAATAATATAAAAATCACTTTTTCGTTAATTTTCAGAAGTTCTGTTATTGCGCACTTTTTTATTTCAAATAAACTAAAGCAAAAACTGATATTAGATAGACAAGAACACTTCATCGACTACGTTCACTTTTAAGCTTTTTTGTTTTTTAAATTTATTCAATTAATTATAAACTCATCATTATTAATAATTCTGTTTTCAGCTAGTTTGATATTTGGAAAAATTTTTAATTTAATGGAAAAACGAAATTTCGATCTTTTCTAAGCTAATGGCATTCAGTTTTGCTTTAGAATTTGAAATATTTCAAATTTGAAAACATTTTAAAATTGTTTTTTTCTGTACTTAATTCCCGTATAATAACTAATTGCTACTGTATTTTTTGAAAATATTACTTGTTTGATTGCAATTCTGTCATTACTGAAATTCAGTTACTACTTCGAGTACAAGAATTACTTAAAGTGGAGAGTTTTTGTTATTTTTTGCATTGATTAAAAGACTTTATTCAGTGTGATTGTAAAGATTCATTAAAATAATACATTAAGTAAGTATAAATCACTAACCATCAGGTTTAAGATGAATCTGATGCAAATTTCCAATAATTGGCCATACTGATGGCCCTTGCATTATAGCTGGTTGCTTGAATACTGTTCTCAGTATTTTTATCACTAAATAAGTCATCCAAATAAATGTAAAAGTAATCAAAAATACGCTGATTATTCCCGCCATTTATAATCTGTAACATTGACAATGTGATAAATGTAAATATGAAAACGATAATAATGCATATAAATAATTATTGCTAATTTCAAATATGTTAATTTCTCTACCAAAATATTCTGCATAAATTTGAAAAGTGGAAATAATGTTACAAAAATAGGAGGCGAAATTTCATAGTAAATCAGTCCATTATGAGTTTAAAGTAAAAATTAGTTGAAAATAAAAGTTTCTTCAAATTTTTCAGCATAATAACACATTTCTGGACAAAATTTTATCAGTAAAATACAAATTAGGTCGTTTTCTAAAATAAAAGATATGAACAGGAGGAAAATGAAGTTTTGTAAAGATTCATGGAGTGATAACAATCTTATTAAAGATATTAATACATGCAAGTTTCACATTTCGATGTTTTATTACTAATGTAAAAATGATTGTTATCTTTGACATTGAGCGAGAGCTGCAACTCCAATTCAGTCTATTTAAATTAATATTTATATTATCACAAAATAAATATCCCAGTTATATATTTGTATTTTTTGAAAGAAACTTAAAAATTTCGCACTGTGAATAACGTGTAAAATACGTGATATAAAAAGCACTACTAAAATAGCAAAAAATAATGTAGTGCTACTAGCATAGGATTATTATATAAATACAAACTCAATTAAATTATTAATTGAAATCTTCAACAGTGATTTTGTATTTTATTTCATTTGGCAAAATTTAGCTGAAACCTAATCTAACAAATGCTCAAGGTTATTAATTTCTGAATAAAAAATTATTAGTGCCTGAGAAAAATAACCTCCTGCTTTCTGTTAAAATGGTACAAGTTTGATTAGCAATTAAGATATGACTATGGCTGCTACTAGTTTTATTTTTTGCACAAATTGTTCAACTATTTACTTGCAAATTATAAATATAATAATAAAATTATTAATAATATAGTACCATTGCTAGCATAGAGATTATCATATAGACATTACTTAATTTAATTAATTAGCTGAACATTTTTAATCAGTGATTTTGTATTTTACTTTATTTGACGTTAAAACTAAAAGTAACTTTTACTAACTAAATAATCTCACTTCCATCTCGTCAGACCTTTTTCTCATTCCTTCTTGTTATACAAGCAATTTAAATTATACACAAAATCACACAGTAACAATTAATGTTTAAGAACTTCCAAGTCTTCAACTAAATGAAAATTCAAAAATAATAGTTTGTTATGGCACAAATACACGCAAACATCGAATACAAATTTAAATACTGTTGACAAATATTAAAAAACTTTTTAACTCATTCAATTTCATAGTTTAATAAGCTTATTTTCATTTATTGAAAAAAGTTTTATACAAACTTTTGCAAAAATTAAAAGCAAAATTTATTACTGAATTAGTTACATCATAAATTTATGCGTAAAAAATTTGTTGCAAATAATAATTTCTTGAAATGTGCTAGCACAAAAATACTAGCATGGTTGAATTAGTGATATAGCTCATTTTATTTGTAAAATACGTAATAGCAACGTTTTTAACAATAATAATAGTTATTATTATTATTATTATTGTAATCATAATTCAAAATTTCAGATAAGTGTAACGTTGCGGTATAAT